AAGCTCAGCTTTTTTTTTAATGCCACATTACTGCAAAAACATACGCTATATCTCTCCATAGCTACAAAGCAGCCACATTTCATCTTTCTGAAGACAAATGCAGAGACTGCTTTTCTTTTCTTCCCCTGCAACAATGTTCTCCGTAATTCTGTCTGGGCAGTCCGGGACACTGGATCTGCTCTCCTAGGGGTTAGCGAGATTGTTAGCCAAGGAGATAAAACTGGCTTCTGAAGTCTGCTCTTGAATATTCACGGTACTAGGAGATCTCTTCCCCTAAAAGGTGATGCTGATTAAGACCTCTTAGTATAAAGAAAATAAGGCTCTTAAAACTCCCTACATAATTTTCTTCTGTGCAGCTGGTCATACTCCTTACTCCCCTTTCTGTACCTAGACTACTCACCAATGCTTAGGCTAAGCTTGTGATAAGGAATTAGCCACTTGACCCTACTCAAGGGGTCCCTTATATTATTGCAGTGTACAAAACTGTACTAGGTTTGTCACAAAATAAGAAAAGATTTAGTGTCTTTTCTTTAGTAAACTGGCAATTACACAGAAGGAACAGCTAAAGAGGAAACAGAAAAAGAACAAGTGTGATGGTAAGACCCCATAATTCTGCTGTGAGGGTTGTATAATCTTGATTTGTTGTTTAGTTTATCATACCACCTTTCTTAAGTCACATCTCTCGCACAATAGGACATTTATTGAATTAGCTGATTTTTTTGGTAAAGATCAGCAATGAGATGTTATCACTGTTAATACTCATAGTGTGTCTACATCACGGGCTGTACTGAGTAGAGAGCTCTGTGCTACACTGCTTCTGGTACCCCAATTAGCTCTGATAGGGCTCGCTCCAATAGCTGTATGCAATGTTGCAGCTTACAATATAACCATACTTGAACAATTTACAATTTCAAAGATCCCTGTGCAAGCATACAGTTAGAAATATACTATCATTTAAATGAAAGATGAAATTTGGGAGCAAAGCTCTGCACCCAGAGGTGAAATCACTGCAATTTTGTAGCTCAGAATACGGGACCTTGGGTATGACTGGCTTGGATCTGGCAGCTAGTCGTCCTGCAGGGAGGTTTTTTGGGTCCTGTTGCGATGCTTTCAAAGCATGCAGAAGCTCAGTGCTGCAGAAGTACATGCCTTTTCTGTGGCAGCTGTGCTGGAGAGATCTTGTCTCTTCCAGCTAAAGTGCTCCTACCAGCGCTCCCTAACCCTCCTTTGGACTGAATGGGCCCCAAAGATTAAACAGTGTAGCTTGTCTCTGCAAGCTTGGCTTATCTGTGCTGAAATGGACACCTCAGGGCAAGTGTGAGCAGCTTGGCCAACAGCTCTGAAGGTGGGTAACTCTGTGCTTTTATTGTCCCCTTTGCTGGAGTCATGGGCTGGAGTCATGCACTCTGGTACCTTCCTGCTTTTCTGTAGGAACAATCAGGGCATTATGGAGCTGATTCGTGCTGATAATGGGGAGAGAGGTGACTGAAAATGACTTTCTCCTAGGAGAAAAGCCCTTAAACTTCAGCTTGTCATTCCAGTATCAGAGCTGACCTCTGTTCAGGGCTCTGCTGAGGCTTACCTATGGAGCGCTCTGCTTCTCTCTGGCATTTGTTTTCAGGCCGTTCAGCCAAAGGGATTTGGGGTCTTCGAATGAAGGTACTAGTTCATGTGAGTTGTTTGTTTCCTGTAATAAATGAACTGATTTAACGACGGAAAGCAGTGGTTCTGCACAGGGCAATTCCTATCATTCGTATATATTGTCAGCAGGCCACGTTGCCCAGGTAGCGCAAGCAAACTCAGTTCTTGTTTTTTCTGTGCTATTTTCTGAGCAGGCCTGCATCAGAAACGCTCTGGGAATAACAGGATGCGATCAGGGCAGAATAACAAAGGGGGCTTGGCAGCGTGTCTTGCAGGCACAAAGACTTACTGCTTAGAGCTCGAGAGAGTCTCTTCTCCAGGAGCACAAGCTCACTAATGACTGAGAACATACTGGCAGGCAGCTTTTTAAGGCTGTTTCTGTAAGGTGCAACTGCTTCCAGAGATAAGACTAAGTCCCAGCTCTGTGGACCGTGCACGCACAGGCAGACGTTAACTCTCGACATAGTCTGAACTCTGCTGACGTGTTTCCCTGTGTAGCAATTTCAGCTATGAACCCCAACGGGATCAGAGGGCTCTGCTCGCTCACCTGGCAGCACTTTGTACCTGCTTAGCATAGGTGCAAATGGCTACTCTAGGCAGGGGGAGGGAAGTGGGGCCAGCCTAGAGTAAGTGGGCCTGTACCATACTAACAAATAAGGTGCTAGGCTTTACTGGCAGACGGCAAATGTTAGGCTGTGCTCGCAAAACATAAGTGGTAGTGCTGCGAAAAGTACAGGGCTTCTATGGCCCTCGTCCTGCAGAGGCAATAAAGTGCCAGGCATCTTTGCCCAGAAGGTGAGGGTCTCGCTAGAAAGGGAAAGGTAATTAAAATGATGCTCTCTCTGAAGAATCTGAATGATGAAGAGTCAGGGAGCTAGATTTCTTCTGAGCAAAAAAGGGAAGATGCTGGGGTAAAAGAGAGGCTTTATCAACTGTTAGATGTCTGGCTGAAAGATGGTTGTGGGGCAGGATTCATGATCAGGAGAACTGAAAGTGATGAAATGTGTGGAGGCAACTGAGACAGGAAAGCAGCACATAGGGTTAGTTAGTAGGGAGGGCAACTGAGGAAGGAAATGAATGGCTGCTGTGGAAACACCACAGAAAGTGATCTGTTTAGTTGCGTTGCGTCAGAGGGAATTCTTCTGTTTCAAACGCATCTCTACTGGGGCTTGAGTGACCTGCTTTTCTGTAGCGAATCTCACAGGACAATGAGAAAAGACCAAGGAATCAAGCAATGTCTGGTATCTGCACAGCAATGAAAAGGGAGACAGTAACAGAGCTGGTCATGCTGTCCCAGGACACAAGCACAATCTTCTCTTATGTTTTGTCCTTTTCTGGATGAAAAAGGTCTTCTGCTTGTTTATCTCCATGTCCCTCTGCAACTTGTGCTGAAGAGCTGTCTAGTCTGAACCTGCATGGAAGGAGAGCAGCAGCCTTTTCTGTAGGACTGTGAAACAGAAGAGGGGGCTGGAGGCAGTGGGAGCACAGCTTCCACATTTCACTCAAACTGCTGGGACAGACACATGCACCATGCAGGTCGGCATAGTTAGGTAATCCCTTGGCAGACTTGATATATTTTCCTTGTGTGTCACAGAGGAACTCTCTTACCACTCTGATCAGCTGGCCTGTGAAGTTGTGGGTGGTTGGTCTGCTATCAGGAAGGGTGCCTAGCACAGGTTAAGGTGCTCTATAACACCTTTCCATGTTACAAGCGCAGCATGCTTTGTAGGGACGTTAATAATACTGTGGAGCCCATGCTGGGTGCCAGTGAGTGCGCGCTGGGCCTTGTGAGCGCAGCAGCCCTGGAGGTGGTGATCCCCTGCTGATGCATGCCCTAGCAGTAGCTTTCCTGCCCCAAGTAGTAAGACGGTATGTGTCTGACAGTGGAGTCTGGTACTGTGCAGTGCTTCAGGATGCCAGCTGTGGGCAGGTAAACCTGAAGGGGGAATTCAGGAGAGCAGGTTGTAGTTACCTTTAGTGAGATTGGGCCAGGAGATAAGCAGGCAAAAAGGGGGTTAGAAGGCCAGCTGCCATTTTACATACCTTAATTCAAATGCTCTGATCCCTTCCTTGTGTGCCTTGGAGGCACCCATGTTCTCCAGGCAAGTGACTTCCCACTGGCAAAGTTTTTTAGGTATCTCTGTTTCTGTACTCACAAATTCTTAAGTCCTGCTTGCACAAATAAGCTTAATCTTCCCCCTTCCGGCCCCAAGCTCCATCAGTGGAGTCACTTTGCTCATACTGTTGAACTCTCTCTGTGCCGTGCAGTTTGTATTCATGAGCTAGATGGTCTGTTGCCTAAGGTGCCTACAGCTTTTTTTATAGCTGCAGCTTTGGCAAAACACGGCAACGAGGAATTGCGTTATCACTGTCCTGCCCCTGTCCCCACTTCTCCCCCAGTGTTCAAGAGGCCAGTGGCTACAGCACTCACCCAGGATGCCCTGAAATTGTACAGCTGTTTTTGACTGCTGGCTGTTGAGTTGTTGTGAATGGCAGTGACTTGAGAGGGTGCTTGGGCAGGTCTACAGTCATTGAAGAGACTTGCTTCTGTGAATTTTCACATCCTCTGACCATGCACCCCATCCCTACAAAGCTGTCTCCTGAATCCGGTGCAGAGCTGGGTGCCTGGCTGGCTCCAGGGTCTCCTCTCTGTGCTGCCATCCTTGATGTCTCCTAGGAGGAAGAAGTCCCATGTAGCTCCGAGGGCACCAGGCACAGGTGGCAGGGCCAGCCATCTCGCTGTCCCTGTCCAGGGCACCCACTGGGGCAGCCCTGCCTTGTGGTTGCCCAGCTGCTGTGCAGCAGCTCTGCTGGTAAGCAGTGGCCCATGTTGGGGTGCTGAGGAAACCCATTTCCACTAGGTTCATCCTCTCTTCCTTCCCTTCAGCTAGACCAACTGCTTGGGGAGGGAGCATCTCCCACACAGCCAGCCCTTCGTTTGCATTGAAAACTGCTTAACATTTGAGATGGAGCCCGTCTCCCTTCAGGCTCCTACCTTAAATGCCTGTTGTGCACTCACTGGTGCCCATATGTGCAGTCTGCTCCCTCACTCCCCCTTTTTTTGGTTTTAACTAACCCCGACGTGCTGTGCCCCTGGGACTCCACAATTAAACCAAAGCCAAAGACCTCCCTCCCTCCCTCCCTCCCCCATTGCCAAGCAAGTCAGGAGGGGATCTGTCACGGTGAAGGTGCAAAAGCCCTTTAATCCCTGCAGCGGAGCAGGGCCACGGTCCTGGCAGGCGGGGGAAGCCGTGAGGCCTGTGGCGCCCGGCCCGGATGGGTGCCTGGCGGGCACGCGAGGCGTTAGGACCCTGCAGCTCGGTCTCTGCTTCCCTGCTCTGCAGGACTGAGCCGAGGCAAGAGCTAACGCAAGCAGCTGTGCCTGCGAGCGCCAGCCAGATCGCGGGAGCGAGGGGGAGAATCCTCTCACCACTCCTCCGTCGCCTCCTCTCCCCTCCTTCCTGCGCTCGCCCGCGCTCCTGCTCTCGCCTCCCCTGGAAACCTCCGCTGCCAGCTGAGGCAGGGCTCCCAGGCGCCGCTGGGGCTCTCGGGATGAGGAGGATCAGGGCTAATGCCATCGCGATCCTGACTGTTGCCTGGATCCTGGGCACTTTCTATTACTTATGGCAGGACAACAAGCCTCATTCAACAGCATCCAGCAGATCCCCGAGCAGCAGCAGCAGCAGCACCAGGAATGGGCAAAGACCAGCCGCGAGGCTGGAGATCCACCGGGAAGACAGGACCATCCCCCTCATTGTGAGTGAGATATGACCGCAGAGCATGTTACGCTTTAATTCCTCCGCGATCATTGTTTCGGTGACTGGGGCTGGCTTGTCGGTGCTGCCGCAGGGAGAGATGCTTTTGGGAACGTTAAGCCTAGTTTGCCAGGAGATTGAGGGGAGGGAATGAATGAATGGGGTGAAGAGGGAGAGAGGGAGATAAAGAAGAGGAATTAGATTTGCATTTAGGTTTCTTTGTATTTATTTTAGCGTTTTCACTTGTAACCATGGCAGCAGTTACAATTGAGGAGCAGGACTGGCAAATCTCAAGGGAATAGAGTAATGCTGTGCGTAAAGTATTTGCAAGTTGCCTTCACTGGCTTGCCCAAGCTCTGCTTCTCTGGCTGAGAGCAGGTTGTCCTTCTCGGCTAGGAAAAAGTGGATGAAATAGCTGGAAGGTTTTTGGTTTGTGTAAGAGGTGCATGTATATTTGTGTATAATAATGCGTGATGTTTTCCCGGCAAGACCAGAAAGAGCTGCATCCTCTAACAAACCCTTGTTCCCGCCTGCTGGGCTCTGTGCACTGGGGCTGCGTGGGGGGAGATGCAAGCAGCACTTGCTGCAGGGGGACTGTGCGCCTAGTTACTGGCCTCTACATCTTTTCCCTTTGCTTTGCTCCCAGACAGGCAACCAGGGCTGAGCTCCTGAGTTTTGGCTGCCTGAGGCTAGAGAGGGCAGCCTGCAAGTCAGGCTAAGGCTTGGGTTTGGGCAGGGTGGGAGAAGAGGGAGGCCTGAGCAGTGTTAGCAGTACTCCCTGTGTGTTGTCTGTTTGATGCACTGTTTCAAATTTGCTTTCAAAGCCCTGCACTCCCTGGGGTATCTGTGTGCTTGATATGGTGATAAAATCAAGCTCCTGACTTAAGGAGGATGACAGGAACCTTTCTGCTCTGTCCATGGAGGATGTTTGAGCTCTTTCAGCCTGCAAGGTAATAGGAACAATACAGCTCCCCCAACTCGAGGCAATAGCTTCATTAAAAAATAGATCGGCCCCCAGGGTTAAAGTGACCCAGCAAGGCCATTCGCAGGAGTGACCCAGCTCAAGCACTCTGGGAATTGCACTGTGTGTCACTGTTTGTGTTTGGCTTCAAATCCATTTATCAGCTGGTTGCACACAGATGGAAGTGAACAAAGCAACAGCCTGGTCAAAGTTGGAGCAGGGGCCAGGCACCGGGGCTCTCCACTTCCCTCCTGGATTGGTGCTGTGATTTTTAGCCTGAGTCTCTGTTTTCTTCACCTGTAAAATGAGGTTGGGGAGGGGGGTTTAGGAAGCCTCGTGAAGGTTTGGAAAATGCTGTTAGAGCAGCCTGAGCCCTCAGGCAGCATAGTGGAAATCCTTCTGCTGAGCCCCTTGGACATCACATGCAGCAGCGAAACTGAGAAGTCAAAACTGAGGCTTTCAGGGGGCGCGAGGATGTCACTTGCTGCTTGTTGTGGCCTGTGGGCTGGTGACAGTTGGGACTGCTCTGCCGTGAGACCCTCCCCAGAGTCCCCAGGATTGTGGAAAGAACTACGGTGCCTCCCAGGCAAGGAGCTCTGCACAAGTTGTTACTCATGCAGGCCCTCCGGGGCATGCTAGGAGAAGTTCTCGTGCTGGCCAGGCGAAGCTGAGCACAGTGAGGATCTGGAGCGCTGCTGTCTGTTGGTTTCCGCCTTAGCACGGGGAAAGCTGCCACTGAGCCCCTGATTTCTTGTGTGCTTGAATGCACTGCTCCGGCAGTTTTATTTCTCCATTCCCCTGCTTATCCTTTCCAATTTTTTTTATAGCATTTACTTTGTTCCCTCTCAGAGGGGTTGTGAGGTTTCATGAATCCATGTCTGCTAAGCGCCTTAAAATCCTCAGGAGGAGGATGCTGTGGAAGTGCCAGGCGTTGTTATATTGCTGCTGTTCAGAGGGGAGCAGCCTGCACTCACAGCTAGCCACAAAGCCTGTCGTTATAAGCTATCGTGCTGTATAGCTTTTGCACTAAATCTTGTCCTTTTACACTGAATGCTGTAAAACATCACAGTTTTGGCCCATGCCCTAAATGCATTAGCAAAGAAAAATAATCATCCTTTGCTTCCCCTCCCTCCCCTGTAATAGGTGTCCCATAGTCTGCCAGACCCTGCTCTTGGTATGTCCCAGGCCCCCATGGCAGGCGGTGGCAGACGGCTGGGACAAAGGTGGACCCTCTGATGCCCCTGACAGCAGCGCAGCACTGTGCACAGCAGAAATATTGTATCCTGACCCGCAGTGATCTCTGCCTGAAGACTGGAAACAGCAGGGGCTTGTGGTGGCCAGGCTTTCCCTTGTGCATGTGGGGCACAGCTTCCCAGGGGGTTGGGGGGCTGCTGTGAGAGGCAAACTGGTAAAACACCAAGCTCTTGCCACTGTAATCTTAGGCAGCGGGATTGCGCTCCCCGAGCCCCCCTGGAGCGAGGTTGGGAGCCAGCCTGGGGCCGGAGCAGTCGCTGTTGTGGGCTGCATCACTGGCACCCGCTGGATACCTCCCACTGCGGGGACACAGCGCGGGTCCGAGGGGTTGTCAGCAGCGGCTGTTGTGATGCGTGGTGGTCCTCGGCGTTCACCCTCACTCTCGCTCTGGGACGCCTGTCGTGTGGGCTGGGATACTGCCCACCTCCCTCTCCCCATCCAGCATGGAAACGTGCCATTTCAACTGTCCCACTGGAGAAATGGTTAACCTAGAGGAATGGCTGTCCTTTTGCTGTGCGCAGCCTTCAATCCTGATTTCATTACTTGAGAAGTTTAATTACTTGACTTAGTAACTAATGGCAGTATTGTGTAAGAGTTGGCTGGTATATGCTCCGAATGCTCTCGAGTTCCTTGGCCTTCTACAGAGCCTCTAAGCCAAGCTGCACATTTTGATCTAGCCTTTGGTTTCCTCTGCTCTGTATGACGATCTTGGAGTTCAGGTTTGGGCTCCTCTGCAAATAAGGGTGACTCATGTGACTTATGACTCTCTGGAAAAATATCTTTGCAGCTTTTTTAAAAAAACTGGCTGCTTTTCTGTCTGGAAAAAAAATCTTGTCTTCTGAGTGAGTGAGTCAAAGAGTTCTGTTTTTACATCTGGGCTATAACATTTCAAACGCTGGGCAAATTAAGGTGAATTGCATGGTTTTTAAAAATTGAAATGCTTTTTAGGCTTAAATTGAGTTGTGGTTTTCTTATTTAATTCTCTGTTGATGTGAAGAGTAAAAATCACTTCAGTTAAAAACTATAGTTGATTGAAAGTCTTAACATTAAACTAATTAGTTTATTGACCTCGTATTTACCCACAGCAATGTAAACTTAAAATCTGGTTGTCTGACTCTTAGAGTCTGCAAGGGAAATCTTTGTGAATGTTTAAAGTTGGGGGCGGGGTGAAGGTGTCAATGGCTTCAGAGATCATTGTTCCAGAAATAGCCCATGTAATAATGGTGACTCTTTGGATCCCTGTTTTATATCCAGAAATGTTGAAATCGGGCCTCTTCATGATCAACCTTCCCGTTGAATCCTATCAAATCAAGATTTCTTTCTCTCTCTCCCTCTGTCCAAGAAATGAAGTTAATATACTGCTTAGTTCAGCTATTGCAAGCAGTAGCGAAGCTATTTGCCTGTGGCCCTCCTCAGCGGCAAGGCAGTGATGCTACCTCTCTGCCTGTCAGCAGGCAAGAGTTGATGCCCCTGCCATCAGGTGAACGTAGCCTATGGGCACTTCCTGTTTGATCCTCCAAGGAAGGCAGAAATGCAAGCAAATATCACAGTTCTAGGAAAGCATTTTTTTGCTTAAGCACTACAGCTTCATATGAATTAGGAGCAGTCCTTGGACTTCCGGCAGTTGGCTCATGTGCCTTCCACTAGAGCCCCGTTGGGCATTTCTGAAGGATAGACTTCCTCTCCGTGCTCTCTTTTCTCCCTCCCCAGCAGAAGTTGCCTTCTGCTCCTTGAAAGTTTCCCTCGGGCAGAACCTGTAAAATGCATCTTTGGAGGGGTTTTGGCATCATTTCCACACAACGTACAAAGGGTTAATTATTTGCCACTTGCTGCTCATCTGCTTTAGCACAGAGCTGATGGATAGAGCCCAAGAGTCTGTCCTTCCCCCTCAAAAGACTGCAGAGTGGGAAGTCCCAGTGTATTTGTCCCATTGAAGAGAGCAAGGCCAACGCTGTCACATAGTGAAAGCTTGTTAGTCAGAAGGGTAGCTCGTAAGCAGCTTTGAAACAGGAATTTTGCTCTTGGCTGGCAGTGTTTGTGGTGAAAATGCAGACGCTTGCTCTCATTTCCCAGCCAAAAGCTGGATGTGGGGCTGCCTGAGGGCCTCTCCAGGTTGCTGGCATTTTTAGGGTGGTACAAAAGCAATATTAGTGGGAGAGGAAGATGGAAGAGAATTGTTAGATGAATGCTCTGAATTTTGTTAGGTTGGTGCCTCACTGCTGTTTAGAGCAGGTATCTTGCCTGTTACTGTTGTCTGGCCAGCTTTTAAGACCTGTGTAGCATCTCTGTGATCCCACTAGAGACTATCTGGCAGCTGAAAGATCCTTTATTGTAAAACTGACTTACATTTCCTGGTTTCAGCTTTTGCTGTTGCTTGCTATCTCCGTGTTCAGCCACTTAAAATGAACACCGAGGAGATAAGATCAAGGCATCTTTTTCCTCTGGTAGCAAAGGATTTCTAAATGCTCTGCCAACATTACTGAACCGAGCATCACCCACCTCTTGTGAGAAAGCTAGAAGGAGACTCTTCTCTGACGCACTGGGAAAGGGAGATTCCTCTAGGTATAGGCGAGTTGACGAAAGATCTCGATCATTTGGAGTTTTTCTTCTTCTTCTTCTTCTTCTTCTTCTTCTTCTTCTTCTTCTTCCCCCCTATTTAGTCAGAAGACTAGCGGTGGCTGGATTTTACCCGCTTCGCTGAGTAGCCAAACTGTCAACCTTAGCCATCCCTGTATTTGCCACTGTACTGCTTCAGACCGCAGTAGATTAAACTAACTTTGCCAAAC